ACTTTCTTTTACTCAAGTACAAATCTGAGTACTTCTACTTTTACTCAAGTACAAGATCTGAGTACTTCTACTTTTACTGAAGATCTGAATACTTCTACTTTTACTACAAGATCTGAGTACTTCTACTTTTACTCAAGATCTGAGTACTTCTACTTTTACTCAAGTACAAGATCTGAGTACTTCTACTTTTACTCAAGTACAAGATCTGAGTACTTCTACTTTTACTCAAGATCTGAGTACTTCTACTTTTACTCAAGTACAAGATCTGAGTACTTCTACTTTTACTCAAGTACAAGATCTGAGTACTTCTACTTTTACTCAAGTACAAGATCTGAGTACTTCTACTTTTACTGCAAGATCTGAGTACTTCTACTTTTACTCAAACAAGATCTGAGTACTTCTACTTTTACTCAAGATCTGAGTACTTCTACTTTTACTCAAGTACAAGCTCTGAGTACTTCTACTTTTACTCAAGATCTGAGTACTTCTACTTTTACTCAAGATCTGAGTACTTCTACTTTTACTGAAGATCTGAATACTTCTACTTTTACTAAAGTACACGATCTGAGTACTTGGTTTAATTTTACATTTCTAAATAAGTCTTAATGAACTCTGGTCTATTCATTTAACACACTTTATTATTCAAATGTTATGATATGGTTATTCTTCACTATAAAATAATGTATCTTTAAAATTCTCCACTGGTCCTGGTTTATGTTTTATTGTACGAAATGTACTTAATTCACCTTGAACATTGTTTGCATTAAACATATTTTATTTTTTGTCGGCAGTGGATTCATATTATTCTAATTTATTTTAAAATAGATCATTCCCAAAATGTATCTCAGCACATATTTATGAATGACAACTATGGTAAACTATTTGTTTTGTTATTTGTTAATGTATGTATTGTGTGTATCATGTGGTGACCCACCTCGACCACCAGAGGGCAGAGTTGCTCCGGATCCACCAGATCACAACCATAGATCACAACAAAGGGTTAACGCCTCCGTGTTTTTACAGTTTCACACTAGTTTCCCCTCTTTATAATATTTGAACCAACACGCCAGACAAAACCAAACCAACACAGTTTAGAAAATGCTGAAGTTACTTTAATCTGGAAACATGTGTGTGTGTGTGTGTGTGTGTGTGTGTGTGTGTGTGTGTGTGTGTGTGTGTGTGTGTGTGGGTGGAGCTTCTCTTGTTTTGCGGTCCTCTTTTTTCTCTCAGCCTCACAACAGAGAGGAGGACCGGGGAAGAAACACCGACTCTCGGCACCGGAGGAACCTGATTTTACCGGTCGTTTCCCCGGAGAAGGACGCACTTATTTCCCCGGGACCTCCTGGATATATCCGAGCGTAAAAAAAAGGGGAGTGTTCTGATCCAGGAGGGTTTATTATCACCGACACATTGGAAGGAGGACTGAGGAAATGGATGAGAGCGCGTGAGGGGAATAACTAATGCGTCCCGGGGATTAATCCTTTTATTTCCAGGGACCGTGGATTTAAAAACAAAACAAAAAAGGCAGCAGATATTGAAAAACGCCAAAAAAAATGGGCAACAGCTTCTCCAATATCTCCGCCTTCCAGTCGCTGCACATCGTCATGCTGGGGCTGGACTCTGCGGGGAAAACCACCGTGCTCTATAGGCTCAAATTCAACGAGTTCGTGAACACCGTGCCCACAATCGGTTTCAACACGGAGAAAATCAAGCTGAGTAACGGCACTGCGAAGGGTATCAGCTGCCATTTCTGGGATGTTGGAGGTCAGGAGAAACTGAGACCTCTTTGGAAATCTTACAGTCGGTGCACGGACGGTATCATTTACGTGGTGGATTCTGTGGATGTGGACCGGCTGGAGGAGGCCAAAACCGAACTGCACAAAGTCACAAAGTTCTCTGAGAACCAGGGAACTCCTCTGCTGGTTATCGCCAACAAACAGGATCTCCCCAAGTCTTTGTTGGTGGAGGAGATCGAGAAGCATCTGGCCCTCAAGGAGCTGAGCCCCGCGACACCTTATCATGTCCAACCTGCATGCGCCATCATAGGAGAGGGGCTGCACGAGGGCATGGACACTCTGTACGAGATGATCCTGAAGAGGAGGAAGTCTCTGAAGCAGAAGAAGAAACGGTAACAGCTGCTGGGGCTGGGTTCAGTCCAAAAAGTCAGATTTGTGCAGATTAAAGTCAGATTTGTGCAGATTAAAGTCAGATTTCTGCAGATTAAAGTTAGATTTCTGAACAGTGTGATGCTGAGGGAAGACTCTGAAGCAGAAGAAGAAGCAGTAACAGTCGCTGGATTCACTTTACTCTGCAGTGATTCATTTTGGATTATTCCCAAGAAATCAGATTTCTGCAGATTAAAGTCAGATTTTTAAAGTCACAACAAACTGTACGAGATGATCCTGAAGGAAGTCTCTGAAGCAGAAGAAGAAGCAGCATCTGATACTTTGACTGTTTGGCCACAGGTTTACTTTGCAGTGATTCGTTTTGGATTAAAGCTGTGAACGTTTCTGCAAACAGGAGATACAAATACAACCAAAAAGACAGAAACACTTGTTCAGTTCAGCGTGGAGGAATGCGGGAGAGGACCAGGGCCGAGAGGGGATCATGTCTGGGCTGTGTGAAGAAAAAACAATGTTGAGTTCTGATTGTAATTCCAGAGTTCTGGGATTTAATTAAGAATTGACAGAATTTCTGAGATTTCAAATAACAGTTTTTTCTGAGATTAAAGTAATGATTCAAAAAAAGGAAAGAAATCTTAAAAAAAGTTAGAGTTCTGAGAAAAAATGTACAATTCCCCAAAAAGACAGAATTCCCCAAAATTGAAGTCCTAATTGTGAGAACAAATATATGTATTTATTTCTGACTTTTTTCCCAACGTTTTCTAATTTACTTAACATATTTCAGACTTTTTGTTTAAATTCTGACCTTTCCCGGAATTCTGAGATTTAAGTTAGAATTCCCCCAAAACACAGAATTCCCCCAAAAGACAGAATTCCCCCAAAAGACAGAATTCCCCCAAAAGACAGAATTCCCATAAAAGAGAACAGATTTCTGAGATTTAAATCGTAATTGCGAGAAAGAAAAACATATATTTCTGACTTTTTTCCCGAAATGTTGTGATTTTTTTTTTAAACAGATTTCAGACTTTTTGTTGGAATTCTGAGATTTAAGTCAGAATTCCCCAAAAAGTCAGAATTCCAAAAAAAGACAACAGATTTCTGAGATTTAAGTCCTAACAGATTTCAGACTTTTTATTGGAATTCTGATTTTGCTTTTGGTACTCTGAGCTTTCCCAGAATTCTCTCTTAAATCTCACACATCCCCAAATCCTTTCCTCACGTTGCCCTAACCCTCGTCCGTAGAGAAAGAGGAGCGGCTGGCCCGTCTACTGCTTTCCTGCTTTAACCACAGAAGAAGAAGAAGCTCCCTTCATGGCATTTTGATTTCCCAAAAAGTTTGGTTTTGCACATGGCTTCGAGTCACTCTGTGATTCTTCTGGAGAACCTGTGAGTCACGCTGACTTTTTGTATTCCTGTGGGAGCGTTGAAGCCTCGTTCCTCTGCTGGAGGGCGGAGCCGACCACTTTGCACTTTTCATTTCCTACACCTCACAGACACTGTATGCAGAGATAGAGGAGCAGATCCAGGTGCTTATGTATACTAAAGAAGCCAAAATTGAAGTATTTTTTGAATATTAAAAGATGTAAAAATCCACAGCTGTTCTTGTTTTTCTCCCCGGGAGTCAGTTGACCTTTGACCTGCAGGATTCTTTCGTCCAGGTGTGGTTAGAGAGAGGTCCCAGAGGTTAAATCCTCCGGCAGACGTTAAAACTAACACGTCCTGCACATTGAGCGGAGCTGCTTTTATGGACCTGCAATGCGGTGCAGAGTTTACGGCCTCACCACAGCAGCAACCCCGATCATCTTAGACTTGTGTCCCCAGTGCAGTTAGCTCTCCTCAGATTGTGTTATAGGTATTTCCACATTAAAAGAACTGTTTCCTGTGAGTGAGGGACGGCATGTGTGCTTTAAAAGCTGCTCAGGCTTCAGGACTCAATTCACGGCCTTTTTCTGCACATAAGTTACTGAATAGTGTTTTTTATTAATGATTAATCAGCTAATTACTTTCTGTATTAAAGGTGGGGTAGGTAAGTTTGAGAAACCGGCTCGAGATACACTTTTTGTTATATTCCATGGAATGCTCTTAACATCCCGATAGCAATGAATATCTTAAGAAAATCCATTAGAACATTTCATCTGTGGAAGCCGTGGCGCTGTAAAAAGCACGACCAATCATCTGAGCCGGCCCGGCTAAAGTAACTGGATAGCCTACCTGCCTGTCAGCCTTCCATCTGTGCACAAACTTATCTCGTGCCCTCATTGGTCATGTGTGTGTTGGAGGAGGGGCTCTGTGAGGAAGTGGCAGATTTTTTCCGGCTGTGTTTTTTCAAATTCAAGCGCACTCCAGCTGGCTTCTCCAAAATTACCTACCCCACCTTTAAATGATTTACTGGTTTGGTACATAAAATATCAGAAAAAGGTGCAAATGCACATCAAAATGTCCCGATATGTTTCAGAAAAGATGACAGAAGTTGAACCAGCGAATGAACCCACTTTAACTTCATCATCTTTGTCGGTTTTCTTTAAAACAAGTAAATTAAATGAATAATGGATTTTTAAATGAATCAAATACTGGATTCAGTTTAATTTGTGCCCTCATGCGAGTATCAGACTGTTAGCCCGGTGCTTCTCCATTTGGGTCGTTTTCACTTCATCTTTTTTGTGTTATTGTGTCTTTCAAAAGATGCATAAATAGTCAACCACTTCTCCCAGGAGAACTGAGTACACTTATTTCAGTAGAAGTACACTTGGAGGTATTTACCAGTCTTTCCATGTCGTGTTACTCCACTGCAGTTAAGATGGAAATACACGCTACTCTGTCAGATTTAGATTTGACGTCAAACAAGCGTAAGCTATCTCAGACATTTCATCGTTTAAGTTTCTATCAGTTTCACCAAATGGATATTTCTGTTCTGAATGTCTTCATGGATTAATTTCTGTGTTCAGGCTTAAAGAGGTTAGACAACAACCAAGTGATAATGAATCCGTCTATTAGAGTTTTCTTATGTCCTGTATGATTTATCATCTGCCGACACCAGCCTGTGTCCTGAGAATAAAAGTACAGAAACAAAGGCAACCCTCGTTAACTCCCCAGAGCTCATTACAATGAGTCGTTTACACAATCAGAGCAAAGCAAAATCAAAGAGTAAACAAACTGAAGAAACCTATAAAGAATTCACTTTTTATGCTTATTTTCAGGTTTACATGTGTGTGTGGTGTCTCTACTGTGACGTACTTTAGCATTTGCAGACCATTGAAATGCACAAACACCTCAATAACACACTGCAGGAGGGGGGAACACCCCAAAAAGCAACAATAGGGTCTCTTTAAGAACATCTGGTTAAAGAAGCCTTTGGATTTTGCTAATAAGGATAAATATTTTCAAAGCTAAATACAGTTGTATGAGAAAGGAAAGCCTGCACGCCGTGAGTATGATGCTCGGAGAGGTTTCCCCAGAAACATTTATATATAAACGCGTCCTGTCATTTCAGGACTTCACGTCGCCATGGCAACAGCGTAGCAGAACCAACCCATCATTTTAGAAACAGGTTTCCCTTCCTTTTTTGCAGGAGCGCACCTCTCCACACACACACACACACACACACACACACACACACACACACACACACACACACACACACACACACCATGTATACATCACTTCAGAGGACATTACATTGACTTACATTGACTTACATGCATTTCCCATATACTAACCTTAACCATAACCAACACATGCCTAACCCTAACCATTATGTCCCCATAAGGGAGGCGAGTCCCCACACGTGACTGTTGTAAACTTAGAAACAGGTTTCCCTTCCTTTTCTGCAGGAGCGCACCTCTCCACACACACACACACACACACACACACACACACACACACACACACACACACACACACACACACACACACACACACACACTCACACACACACACACACACGTCTCAACCTCACAGTGACAGAGGAGACTCTACAAACACATAACGTACAGCATTGAAACAAGGAATGCAAATACAGTCAATCTAATATGATGTTTAGACATATTCCACATTTTGAATGTTTGAACTTTATAAACTGGCTGCTGTATTTCTGGGACAGGTCAACGTTATGTTTGAAGGTAAAAGTTCCCTTTGGGACTAAAAGACGTGTCATGTGACTCTGGGCTTTCGTCCTGGATGGATGTGTGTGGTTTTATCTTTAGTTTGAGTCCTTTCTTTAAATGAGCCTCTCTTCCGGCCCGCTTCCAGCTGAAGTTATTCATTATTTATCTTCAGTCTGTGTTTACTCAGTGTGTGGAGGAAAGTTCACCACGTACCTGATGGATCATCACAAAAAGCAAACACTCTATATTACTGGTCCTGCAGAAGTCAGCCTGATATCTTAGAGATACAGTACGCAGTGACCTTGCATGTCTCTTGGTCAAAAGATAAGAGCCAAAGATAAGAGGGTTTATTGTCCCTTAGAGCTGCAATCTGTAACAGCAACACGCGGTGCAGCAAAACAAAGTGAAACATTTCCCTTTGAGATAATATACAAAGATCAGGAGAAAACACATTTAAAGTCATAAAAACATTACAAATAAAGAATTGTAGAAGCCTCGTCAGATCAAATATAAAAAGATATATATAAATAATAGAGAGAAGTGGGAAAGACTAAAGGAAATGTAAAGTATGGATGCCGGTAAAGTGGCAGATCTGTTTTTAAATAATAATAATAAACATAATATTAAGCTTTATTTATATATAGCACCTCTCATGCTTCCTGCAGCCCAAAGTACTTTTCACCACATGTGTCAAACTCAAGGCCCGGGGGCCAAATCCGGCCCTTGGTGGATTTAATTTCGGCCCACAGGATAATTTCTCATTCCCATTAGATCTGGCCCTCCTGTATATTGCTCTCACACCTTCACTCCATCCTGAGGGTCTCCTCAGCTCAGAGCCTGAGCCCAAACATTGATGACCTTGCACCCAAGATGAGATGCCAAGTATCTGAGCTAGCATCACAGAGCAGCACACTGAGTTTAATGGATGTTTCCTTCTGCACTTTCTCTCTCACGACAACAGGGCATGTTTGGTTTCTCTTTGAGGGAAATAGTTTTGTTGAAGCTGTTGTTGGCCTGTGGGAAAATGTAATCATAAGAAATGACTCTGGAAAAGCTGCAGATAGAGCCATAAGAAATGAATCAACTGATTATTTAATGTTTAATGTTGTTTTTATAGGCAATCATTGAAGCTTTGTTAGTTCCAGGTTTAATATGTGCAATAAGTTCATTTCAATAAGTTCTGCAATAAACACTGAACCAGTCCGGCTCTACACTAGTACATATTTTTTTATGTTGGCCCACTGTGTATTTGAGTTTGACACCCCTGGGTATGACAGAAAATAACAATAACAAATGAGGAACAATAATAAAAAACTAGGTATAAACAAACAGAAAGAGTTCGATCACTGAGTTAGAACATGAACAGTGATACTACGAAAACATTACAATCGCCCCAAATGATAAACCAAATCAAAAAGATAGGTCTTTAATTGACTCCATTTGAGGTAGCTGTTCTAAGATCAATCACTTTATCAACATTTTGTAATATTATTTTAATGTTTTATTCTATTTTGTCTTTATTCTGACCTGGTGTGAATCCTGTTTTTTCCTCCTGTAGCTGCCTGAATGTCCCCAAGGGACACAGTTCCATCTTCTCTTCTCTTCTCCTCGTCGTGTTTACATGACGTCAAGCTTCTGTTAAAGCACCAGATCTCCTTTGGGGTCGCTCAGTGTGCCAGACTGATCATAGAGCCAAACTCTTGGAGTGATGCGGACACGAGACATCACAACATTGATTATCAGCCCTCGTGCATCAAACCCCCAGGAAGAGCCTTAAAGGGCCGTAAAGACAATATGTATCTAGATGTAGTGACTAGAGAGCGGTGATGGGTTTTTTTAGATTCAAAAGATTCAAGATTCAAAGTTTTATCATCAGATGCACAAAGCTTCAGTGTAGACATGGCAATGACATTCTTCTGACCTGAGCTCCTCCAACAATGCAACATATATCATAAAATACAAATACAAAATTGTACAAGAAGTCTCTATGAACGTAAATACAAATCTATGATATGTAGAAGAACAGAATTAAATAATACAGCAAGACAACATTTTATACAGTTTGTTACAGTTATAACTATTTATATAGATAAGTAGATTGCAAAACAGATGGATGTTTATGGCGGCTCTTAGAGGTGGGGTAATTCCCTTCAGAAAACACTTGTTGTTATATTCCATGGAATGCTCTTAACATCCAGATAGCAATGAATACATTAAATGCTTTGACAATAAATCATCATCAGTGGAAGCCGTGGCGCTGTAAAAAGCACGACCAATCATCTGATCTGGCCCGGCTAAAGTAACTGGATGGCCTACCTGCCTGTCAGCCTTCCATCTGTGCACAAACTGATCTCGTGCCCTCATTGGTCATGTGCGCGTTCGTGTGTGTTGGGGGAGGGGCTCTGTGAGGAAGTCTGAAGGAAGGGGCCGATTTTTTCCAGTTGTTTACTTTCAAATTCTAGCGCCCTCCAGCTGGTTTCTCATTCTTAC